TCCGGGGCGAGAAAGCTCCGTTCGTAAGTGCGGATCCTTCGTAAGTGCGGATCCGACGTAAGTGCGGATCTGCGTAAGTCGGGGACTGCCTGTAATGGCTTTTATTTTATTGTAACCAATATATTTATTCCTGATGATTGCAGCAAGTAAAATCTGGAGAGTAAAAACACGATAGTTAGAAGGGCTTTATGATGTAGAGGACCAATTACCTCCCATGTGTTTGAATAGCAAGTAATAAGTGAAATTCCTCAGGATTGGTGTTGAAATGAGTTTGTTTCCTTTAAAGCCATATGTTGTAACTGAATTTGATGGCAGTTGTTTCCAGTGCAAATGTGAAAATAAACTCAACATTATGACTTGTCTGCAGGATTCACAGAATACGGGGAATACTGTTTGAGCATCTTGGTCAACAGATGCAGCCCTGTGCTTGAGGTGCTGTTTGCAGGTAGACCTGATGGAAAGAGATGTGGTCATTGTAGTGTCAAAGGAGCATTGTAATCTGGAAAAAAGGTGAAGGCGGGATAATTATGGTGAAGCTGAAGTCTACAACCAGGAGGAGTTATCTATCTTGAGATGACAGTCTATTGTTGGAAAAATGTTTTATTGTGATTGCAACTTACAGTTTTTCCTGAATGAGAACTAGATGTTTGTTACATTATTACTTGTTTACATTACACTATCGTTCCTTCCAAACTTTGGGGGTTTTCCTTTATAAATTTGAAATCTGGGCTTATATCCATTGTATTGGTTTTCTTCTGCTTCTCATAGTTAAAATAGCTTACCTTAGGTGTCACTGCAGTATGCATTGTGAACAGGATAGCAAGAGTTCAAAGCAGAAGATAACTATCCTAGACCAACAAGAGTCAGTCATGGAGTAAAGCATGGGAAAGTTTAACAGGAGGGCAACTCATACAGAAACCCCCTATACATTCCATATTTCTTTGGACCATCCTTGTTGCTTAGGTTTTTTTTGGCAAAGACTATTGAGGAATTTAAGACAGTGCTTCAGCCAATGTTCAGATTGCATGAGCTGCCAAACTGGAAATAGAGGCCCTGCTTGGATAATTGAAGGATGTAGCTAAAAGTGAAGTACAAACAGCCCTCAAAATGTAAAAGGGACTATAGATCAAGTAGACTTCAGATAATCCGGAACCTATGGGATTTAGGTGGTGCCGGATTATCAGATATGCTGGACTATCAGAAGGTCCTATAAGTAGGTGTTATATATATATATATATATACACTGTATACATTATATACTGTATATAAAGTGTTCTTAACCCTTTTTATTGTACGTACTGTATGCAGTATACTGTAATGTTTTAGTTTTTTAAGCCTTTTTTACCCTTTTTGCTCAGTTCAGCTGCTGCCGCTGTTACCTTGTGACTCTTTTTTGACGAAGCTCACTCACTAGGCTCTTGCCATTTTGATGCCGGACTATCAGGAGTGCAGGACTATTGGATGCTGGACTATTGGAGTTTTACTGTATTTGGAAGGCTAGGCTGTATGTCTGATTGATAGATGAAGCCAAGATTATTCTGCACAGTAGAAAGTGTAATTCCAATGTGTATCCCCTTACAAGAGGCTTTGCAAGCAGTAGAAAAAAGTTAACTTCATGAAGTTCTAAGATACTGATAAAATGCTGCAGGACAAATTTTTTGAGGAACCATATATAATGATTCTTGGTGGCTGGAATTATAACTGATTAATCCAGAAATTTCCTTCTGGATTTTGAGGATGGTATAAAACCTCTGGGATGTAAAGAGCCACACAGGACCATTGAAGTGTGTCCCCTGCATGGATATAAATGTATCATTGCCTTCTGTCTTAGAGATGATGGGTGCTGTGTGGCGCAG